GGCCTGTTGGTACAGCCCAGCGTTTCCTATTTGGGCTTCCAGATGTGTGGGTTTTAACACCCCACCCCACAAGATTCTTCACCAAGGTGGTGAGAGCTGTGGGATTCTGGGCACTGAAGCCCATCTATCTTGTTGTTGTTGTTAGTTGCGAAGTTGTGTCCGACCCATCGCGACCTCCTGGACAACGTTCCTCCAGGCCTTCCTGTCCTCTACCATCCTCTGGAGTCCATTTAAGCTCACGCCGGCTGCTTCGGTGACTCCATCCAGCCACCTCCTTCTCTGCCGTCCCCTTCTTCTTTTGCCCTCCATCTTTCCCAGCATTAAGGCTCTTCTCCAGTGAGTCCTTCCTTCTCATCAGGTGGCCAAAGGATTTGAGTTTCCTCTTCAGGATCTGGCCTTCTAAAGAGCAGCCAGGGTTGATCTCCTCTAGGACTGACTGGTTGGATCACCTTGCAGTCCAAGGGATTCGCAGGAGTCTTTTCCAGCACCCTAGTTCAAAGGCCTCAATTCTTTGGCGCTCAGCTTTCCTTATGGTCCAACTTTCACAGCCATCCATTGCAACTGGGAAAACCATAGCCTTGACTATACACACTTTTGTTGTAGGGTGATTGATGTCTCTGCTTTTTAATATGCTGTCTAGATTTGCCATAGCCTTCCTCCCCAGGAGCAAACATCTTTGTAGGACAGCCTCTCCTCTAATACATCTACATCTGTTGGGACCACAAAAAAGGACCTTCTCAGTAGCGGCCCCTTCTTTATGAAACATTATTCCCCCAAAGGTACAGATGGCTCCCACCCTGTTGCTTTTTCAAAGGGCCATAAAAACATGGTTTTGTCAGAAAGCCTGGGGACCATGAATAGAGATTGGAGCCAATGAAGTGGCTGATTTGATTATGTTTGTTGCTGTAACGGAAACTGTTTCTTTAAAAATGGGTTTTTATTATTTGATGGGTTTTTTATAAAAGAAATTGTAGATGTTGTTGCTATGTATATTAGTTTAATAAATAGAAGGGGGAAATTAGAGCTCGAGAGGAAGCAGTCAGTGGCATGGTTTACCAACAAAGGAAAACAAGTTGGATTGGGAATTGGTGATGTAGACCATTGGTCACCAACTGGAGGTTTGCGAGAAAAATTTGGAGGTCCGCAGAAAAATTATTTGCATTTTTTATATTGCACTAAATCAGGGGTCCTCAAACTAAACCCCCTGGACTGGATGCATGCAATGAACACTTGTGTTGCTGCAGAGAGTCTTCCCCTTCGAGGTCATTTTGTGTGGGTGGGAGGGGGGCAGAAATTCCGACTTGGGGTCTGCTTCTGCCTCCTGGTGTGGGGCTTTGGGTGAAGGCTGGAGGGAAGTGCTGCTGGTGGTGAAGAGCCGGAGGGCCTCATTCCATTGGGACTGCATCATGGCCTGGAATTGGCTGACCATCTCAGCCTGCTGAGCCTCCAGGGGCCAGTCCCTGGCCTTGCACTCCCGCAGGTGTTCCCTCTGCCAGGAAAGCCTATGCTCCTAGTCCTCAGTGAGGTGCTTCTGCTGAGCCTCCTTCTCGGTCAGATCCAATTTGAACTGACTGTTTTGTCAATTCTTTCTCGTGGCGGCTGCTTAGCTCCAGCAATTGCTTCCTGTTGGGGCCCTAAGGAGCCCGGATGGGCAGTCAAGGAGTGGCTGGGAGGGGAGGGGCGAGTAGCCCCTCAATGTTAGTGACACGGAGTTGAGCACGCCCACCCAGTCATATGACCACCTACTCACACCCACCCAGCCAGTCATTAGGCAGATCACATTAGTGGTCCGTGGGATTTAAAATTATGAATTTCGTGGCCCCTGAGGTCCAAAAGGTTGGGGACCCCTGATGTAAACAGCCGGTTTGGTCATGGAGACTTTTGTATGAACACATGGAGTGGTAGATTGTGCTTCAGGTCAATAACGCGGAATTGGCCAAAGTTATGCATGGTGTAAAGATTGTAATTATTTGCTACAATTTTTGTGTTTTCCTTCGGATCTGAATCCAGGACTGCAGACAAAGGAATAAATGTTACAGTGCAGATAAAAAAAAATTGTGCAAAGCCAAAACAATTTTTTAAAATAAAAAATAAGACTTCAAAATGCTAATTTATCCAAGTGACAGTTGTTATATGCTTAAAAATATTCATTTTCATAGGAAAATTGCACTATTTGTAAGAAGGAACAGCTTTTGATTGATTACAGTTTGCAGTAAAAAGTCACAATTTCTCTGCTCAAATCACCCCTTTCTATTATTTATGTTTTTAATAGAAATTTATTGAATTTGAAGATGCCCTGGAACAGGAAAAGAAAGAATTGCAGGTTCAGGTGGAACATCTGGAATTTCAAACACGGCAGCTGGAGCTGAAGGCCAAGAACTATGCAGACCAGAGTGAGTACAGTCATTAACAGAATTTGGCCATATCCTACTGCATGCCATACCAGATAGCACTAGTTGGCTTCAGAGGTAAAGCATTTACTGGAATGCAAAAAGTTCCTGCTTAAATTCCTGGCCCTCCAAATAAGCTCGCATAGGGAACCAGATCCAAATTTTTATAAAGACACCATTGCATTAGATAGACCTGAATGTTCTGACCCAGAGCATGGAGCAAACTCCTTGTCCTGACAAAAACCTCTTTTATTAATTGACTGTGAATTCTGCTCATTCACATCCAGCAAAGTCTTCCAAGGGAGGATTTACAGTCACAGACNTGGTAGCCATTGTTTTTTCTGCAGTTCTAATTATCCTCTGAAGTCTTTGTCTGTCTTGTTGGGTTGCAGAGCCAAACCAGGCAGTTATAGAGGTGCAGATGACAGACTCAATAATTCCTCTATAAAACTGCATCAGCAACTCCTTGGGCAGTTTGAGCTTTCTGAGTTAGTTCAGAAAGAACATTCTTTGTTGTGCTTTTTTGATGACTTGTGAACCAAAAGTATGTAAACCTATCTGTTATGGCTTAATGTTTTGTTCCTGTGCAATCATTATGACTCAATAAAGCACGGTTAACATGAACTATGGCATAGTGGGAAATATAAATGTGTGGTTTGCCAAACAGTTTTGCTAGTTTTTGCAGTTTTCTGATAGACGGTTGTGAGAATAGTAGAAGAAATATGTGCAAATGTGATAGAAATGTGAAGGTGGCTAAAATCCCTAGAAAAACACATTAAATTGTCCTGAGTGGTTCTGAATTTTTGTTGCTTTCTTAATTGAGTTTTTCATTACCCTTCCCCCAAATTACACGTCTGCATTTAGGTAGACAGGAAAAGAAACCAACATGATGTGTTTTCACCCTCCTTTTTTCTTTTGTGTGAACTAAGAAGGATTTTCTCTGAGATGTTTTCTCAAATTACTTTCTTGGCCCAAGGTCAGGAAATTTTTCTCTGGCTTGGTTGTCCTCTTATCCTTCAAATCCATTTCCTTTGCCCTCTACACAAACATGGGCATATCTATCACAAACATTAAATTCCTGAAATCATTGAGAGAGAAAATCTGTTAATCTGTGCATAAATATATACCTATCCTCATTTACCTCAATGGCTATATACCAGAGTCTTCCAATCTAAGCAAGTTCCAGATATGCTTCTTGGGGAATTCTGGGAGTTGAAATCCATACACGTCAACCTGGAACTTGTTTAGGTTGGGAAACCCGGTTGCATGTATGACTTCTTATCAACAGTGAGCTTGAGTATCTAAATAAAAGTCCAGGATCATTTATGAAAGCCTTATTGGTTTATTGAATATATAACATGGTGCTGTTGAGGTAAAAGTACTGTATTTTCTGAAGTATAAAATGCACTCTAGAGTATAAGACGCATCAAGGTTTTGAAGAGGCAAATTAAAAAAAAAGTTTTTGCACTCTACAGACCTCCCCAAAACAGCCATTTTTTTGCGAAAATGGGCCCTTTTTGTCAAAAAAAGGGCATGCATAGCCTTTAGGGAACTTATAGAGTGTTCCTGGGGGCTGGGGTGTGTGTGCAAAATTGAGCAAAAAACAGCCAGGTTTCAGGAGGCAAAAAAATGTTGTATTCAGTGTATAAGATGCACCCAGATTTTCAGCCTCTTTTTTGAGGGAAAAAGGTGCAGTTTATACTCCAAAAAAACACAGTAGCTCTGAAATTCTCTAGCACCAGTTCACAGTATTAGATAATGAATTTCCCAGCCCAACCCCCAGGATCCCATGTAAACCATGTAAACCAGTTATCTTGTTATGGGAACCATCTGCCTTCCTCTTCACACCTGTCAATATGTCCTTGAAAAGTTTCCTGACTTTCGCAAGCTTCCATGGGACTGTAGAAGTTTCGGTTCTCCAACTAACCCATTTGTACACCTCTGCCCCCCCCCCCTTTCTGTAATGGGAAGGTGAAATGAATCTGGCATGTAGCTGCCAATGTTTCATTCTTAACACCTCTACAGTCAGAATAGAGATTTTAAGCCTTGATATGATTTGTTTTTATTTTGACTTGGCTTTAATGAGCACATTTCAGTAAACTATGATTAGACAAACCAGAACATTTGGGAACCCGGTCTTAGTATTCCATACAATCAACTTCCTGATAGTTAGAACAATTAATTAGTAGAACAATTTGCCTTCAGAGTTGTACATGGCCCAACATTGGAAGTTTTTAAGAAGAGATTGAATAACCATTTGTCTGAAATGGTATAGGGTTTCCTGCCTAAGCATAGTTTACTGAAATG